CCCTTTCTGTCGCCTCCTGCTCACTGCAAAGTCTGACACAAGGACACGACGGTGTCTCCCAACCCCGCTCCCCACGGCCGCTGCAGCGGCTGCTTAGCCCCACGTCCTCACTCCGCTCACGTGTGGCCAGGCCACAGAACAGCACTACAGACGAGAGGGCCCAACCTGAGGAGCCTGCTGTCTCGTTCTCTGCTGCAGGAGGTGGCCGGATTGCAGTGTTACCAGAGCTCCTTACGCAGGACACTGCTAGCTTGTCACTGAGAGCGAGTCTACCCAGGCTGGCTTGCTCAGCTTATTGGAACGGAATTTTCATGCTTTGGGCTGTTTGCTTTTGCTTTTCACTCGGTTGGGAAGTTTCAGTCTTAGGCGTGTTCGTTTTCTTGTCACTTCGCTTCCAGGGTCTCTCCTGTACACAGGCAGCCTGAGGCGCAAATATTGCACGAGGGGAGGAACCACTTGTTTGTAAAATCCCCACTCCCGCTCCCAGGCTAATGGGAACAGCCTGTCTGGTCTGGGTTCTGTGAACACGTTCACAAAAATATCTGAGCAGCATTGGCAAGGGTTGCACTGAGCACAGACTGACTTGCTTTAGCTCCGGCAGTGCAGAGTGCAAACGTGCCTGACCACCGTGACTCTCGAATCCAAGAGCAGCTTTGCTCTAGGGATACAAATGGGATAAGTAACCAAATTTAATTGAAAATACCAGCCTCGCTTGTTTCACGGAACTCCCCTGGCTGGGGCTGGAGCACCTTGCTCTCAAGCAGAAATGCTGTGAAGGCAAAGTATGGAATAAATGTCTGAGCAAAGCCATTAACACGTGGAAAGCAGCTTTTCCAGGGGCCCCCTTGTTGTGATGGTCTGTCTGTCCTTGTGAGCGCCATCGTTGGGAACATCACTTACTGTACCACATGCTAGCCCTGTGCCCCTGTACCGATTTGATAAGACCCAAACAATAAAAGTGCAATTAAATCCTTCTGGGTCACGCGGGCTTTGATTGGACACGGCTCATTCCGAATCCCAACAGCCCGTTTCTTCATTCTGTGTGTAACGGGCGCGGAATCCAGCGCCCGGGACGGGAAGTGAGGCGCTTGCTGCAGCATCCCCGGAGCTCAGCACAATGGCTGCGCGTCCTCACAGGCCCAGCTCGCTCCTCCCAGCGGGGAAAGCTCCTTCCGTGTCTGCCAAGGCCTCCCGTGCTTTCCACCCAGCCAGTCTCAACCTCCCCCTCCACTTTCTCCCCCCAGGCCCGGGGTGGGCAATAATTTTTGACCAGGGGCCACTTCTGAAATTTTTGAAGTGGCCCCTGGCCACCTTGGAAGGGGCGGGGCCAGGACATTTCCCTGCCCAGACCCTGATTGGTCTGTGAGTGGGGGAGCGCATGAAGTCTTTGACCTCCCCCCCCCAAAAAAAACCCACCAGCTGTTCTGAACAGCTGACTGCTCCCTGAAGGGAGGAGACTTGGGGAGCTCTCCACCCCCAGGTCAGGCAGGGCCTTTGGGCGGGGGGAGCACAGGAAGCCTGCCCCCTGCCTGCCAGGGAGCCAGGCTTAGTCACCCCCCAGCAGCTGGTGCTTGACTCTAAGGGCAGAGCCCCTTGCCCCCGCGCGGCCGGGGGGGCGCGGGGGAGGGGGGGGGGGGGGGGAGCGGCAGGGCCTCCACGGGTGGGATCCAGCCTGGGGAGGCCCTTTTGCCCACCCCTCCCTCCCTGCAAGCCCTGTACAGGTCAGGCTGCCCCTCGCTCTGCCGCTGCAGGGGCCCCACCTGGGACCAAACGGCCTGAGCGGAACGTGCTAGCGCCTCCAGAGCAGCCTTTGTACTCCTGGGAGTCAAGCCCGGGACTAGAGACCGTGCCAGGGGGCCAGGAACCTCCCCCTGCAGTCATGGGGCACTAGGCCCCTGCTGATCTGACCACACTTGTTTGGAGAGCTGCTGGCCCGGCTGCTCTCTCCCCAGGCTGGTGAGAACTCCAAGCAGGTCAGCTCCTGCTCTGCCACCCCCTGGCTTGGTGATGAAAGTCCAGGGCGTGCCCTGGCCAAGGGGAATGGCTGGTCACTGCCTTCCCAGCAAACAGCCACCTGGCCTGTTACTCAGTGACTACGCTGCGGCCGGGTACAAGAGCAGCTCCGCTCGCGGGCTGGGCTCAGAGCGCGCTGGGCGCCCAGGCCCGTGGCCAGCAGGGTCTGGTCCCAGCGAAGAACTGAGGCAGCCCCGTGTCCTGCTCCCCTGGGGACGTCGCCAGGACTCTCCCAGCACCCACTCTGCTGTGGGGGGGCCAAAGCCAGCCCAGCCCCTCAGTGACAGCCTGGCCTAGCGAGCGGAGCTGCTTCCCCAGGACAAGCCCCCAGCCCGGCCGCATGGCGCTGGCTCCGGCGGACGTCCTGCTGGACGCGTGCGCCAGGGAGTGTGGGATTTGCTACGAGGCCTACGGAGCAGCTTCCCAGTGGCGGATGCCCAAGCTGCTGCTGTGCCACCACTCGCTGTGCCTCTCCTGCCTCCGGAAGCTGGTCTGCCAGGCGCGGGCCGTCTCCTTCGTGGTCTGCCCCTTCTGCAGGACGGTGACCCCGGTGCCCAAGCAGGGGCTGCAGGCCCTGCAGAATGACGAGGCCGTTCTGCGGGCGTCAGTGGCCCCATGTAGCCTGCGCAGCCCCGGGGGCCCGGCGGGGGCAGACTTGGGCCCCGGGGAGGAGGAGCAGGAGGCGGCGGCGCCCTCTAGTGCCTCAGCCTGTCCCATGAGCGATTCCTCGCTCACCCTCGACGTGGAGTTTAACTACGTGACCCATTCGTCCATCTTCACCATCAGCAGCATGGTGGCCCCATACGGCTTGGCCGGGCCGGGCAGCCCCCGGGCCTGGAGCGGGGTCCACGTGCAGGAGCTGCAAAATGCCTTCCTGGTGGGGCTCCCGGGCCGGGCGGGCCCCCCGGATGCTCAGCCCCCCCTCTCCTCGGTGGAGAATCTGCGCCTCATGGTGGCCCCATACGGCTTGGCCGCGCCGGGCAGCCCCCGGGCCTGGAGCGGGGTCCACGTGCAGGAGCTGCAAAACGCCTTCCTGGTGGGGCTCCCGGGCCGAGCGGCCCCCCCGGATGCTCAGCCCCCCCTCTCCTCGGTGGAGAATCTGCGCCTCTGCTTCGCCATGGGCATCCTCATCCTCATCATCTCCGTCTTCTTCCTGCTGCTCTTCCTCAAGTAGCAGGAGGGCG